GCACCAGCACCAGCGCCAGCACCACCTAGATCCGGCACACTGCATCACACGGTGTGGATGGCGCACCAAAAATCACAAAGCCCTGTTAGAGCTAGTTCCTGCTGGTTTCGTGTCATCCGTGTTGGAATTTCTGAGTCAAGCCACAGCCGCGTTGCCAACTGGTCTATGCTCGTGAGGTAGTAGCCCACATTGTCCTCTACCTTGCGCAGTCTCGTCAAAACGCGAGTCAAATCCCAGCTCTCCGTGATCCGTCGCCTTCCTGATCTGCAGAAGCTTTGGGTCTGCAAGCGGTGCCTGCGAACCTGGGGCAAACTTGCTGAGGGGTGGAATGTCCTGGAATTTCAGCATGCCGCATGCCTGGACCTCTACCTGGACCCGAGCTGGCGATCTGCAGCAAGCCATCCAGGTCCTTTGAAGAAACTTCGGGAAACTTCGGCTTCGGTCTCGACAAGACGTCAGAGCCCTACTAAGTAAGGCCCACTGCAAGGGTCCTGCTCAGTTCTGGCCGATAAGAGCTTGTGTTGGCTCTTCTGCAACAGCTCCAAGCGCTGGATCTGCGCAGCCATGCCCTCATGATGCTGGTGAAGGACCTGTCCGAGAAAGACAGCTGAGAAAAGTGGGTCGCACAGATACCAAACTTCTGCCAGTGGACATCCCCAAAGCCCCAAACAGTGAAAAACCACCTGAAGCATGCCATTGTAGGAGAAGTCACGCCCGCCGGGCCGACACTGGGCCGACGGTTCGGAAAAGGTATCAACCAGTTACCAGTTGCCATCTGCGGTTCGTCCGTACTACCAATGTCATACAATGGCATCAGGGCTTTTCCAGCATTACGCTGCTTTTCGGAAGCATTCCGCACGCCACACTTGTAGTCCTGCGGTATTTGGAGGCCCGAAGCTCCAGTAGCGTGTACTGTTGTGTTCGACAACATCCGCTGAAGCCGCAGACTACCAAAACACCAGGAGAACACAGGAGACCACCAAGAGACCCCAGGACACCGGAAAACCACCAGGCTGGAGTTCAGGACGGTTCGGAGGGAGCGCATCGTTTCCCGCACAACAGTTCTAGTCGTCCCAGAGGAAAACACAGCAGGACAGCTCGGAAGGAGCATGCTGGACTCGTTTCCTGTACTATATACAGCACTGTTTGCGGAACATCAGGCAGGCAGTGGGCATGACGCTTGCTAACGGAGACTGAGTCGCCTCCCGTTCTGCAATTCCACTACAAGGGAGCAACTTCCGAGTCGTGCCAACATGTGCTTCCCAAGTACTGGCGCCTCGAGCACCACGCCACGAATGTCTTCCCCCAAGTACGGAAGGATTCAACAATATCGAAAGCACGGCGAGTTTGCTTTCCCTCAAGTAGAGTTGAGCCTCCTTTTCAGGTATCGTCAATTCTTTCTACTCCCAAAGCACGGCGAGTTCGCTTTCCCTCAAGTAGAGTTGAGCCTCCTTTTCAGGTATCGTCAAATCTCTCTACTCCCAATGCAAGAGCGGCAGGGTGTTACCACACTATGGCGTTCTGGCGTTCCTTAGGTGCGCCGAGCGCCGGGCCAATCAATTCTTTTTACTCAACGCAAGAACGACATAGTGTTATCACGCATACTCACTCACTCACTCACTTCTTCTTCCACTGGGCATAAGGGACTGGTTCGGTTAGGTCCCTCATGGGCCCCCCCAGTGTTATGGGGCTCTCACTGACTCTCTGTATCTCTCTCTCTTCACTTCCTTTCACTTCGGGGTTCCTATGGCGTCTTTGGCCTCTCTCTCTCTACCAGGACAGAGAGGGCAGGAGGTCCACTTCACCCCCGCGCGCGAACGCGCACGTGGGGTTCGAAATAAGATCGGCTCTTCGTGAGATTGCCGAAAGGCTGTCATGGCTCCCCCGTGCGACAGGAAAAGAGCAGTGGTACGTTGCATCATGGTATCCCCCGACATCAAAACGTAAAAACAAGCAAACAGCACCCCTTTAAACCATACCAGCCTTCCCCGAGAGCAGGAGGAAAAAACGTGCTGCCGTTTACGGCTTTGCATGAACGGGGATTACGTTGAGTTGTCGAGATTGGACCGAATTGAATTGAAGCCTCCTTTGCCCGAATTCTGCGCAGTTGCTAAAGGTGAGCTAAAAAGAACCTCGGAGTGAGGGCGGTGTCGGCTCTTTGGAACGGGTTAATCAGAGAGGGGCTATGGCCCGGATTAAAACATTCACGCCTTCACACAGCTACTCATTACTCAGAATTTTCTACAGCTTGGCATTCCGTCATCATTAGGGTGCAAATCTCCCCCGGGTTGAAAAACATGCAAAACTCGGGAGTCTTGTGTCCCCCTCACTGCTTTCGGTCGCCTTGCTGGAGTGGTCTTCCCCCTCTCGCAACATGTGTGCCTGAATCTGCGGCACACCTGGCCATCTTTGGTTGGGGACCAGCTGGACTCCATCCCTCGCCGTGGTGGTTGTCGGCCGGCTCCTGTTGCATGGCTTGGTGTCGTCGTGGTGGCTCCCCATGGGGCTCATTCGGGCGCTGAGCCAAGACGCCAAAGCTTGTGCTCGGTCTGAAGGGCCCTTCTTCCCCCCACGGCTGTCATAGTGCCTCACATTCTGTGGGCCTCCGTGCTTCCATCGTCTGTGTCCCCTCCTAGTCAGGCTGGCTTTCTTCGTCACTTCGCTCCTTTGTCACATGCTGGTTTTCGTCGTCACTGCGCTCCTTTAACACATGCTCATGGACCGGCTGTCTTGTCGTTTGCGGTTCTCCTCCGTGTTCAGGTCGTACTGTGGCTTTGCGTCCCCCGGTCTGTGTTGGTGTCTTGATCGCCGTTGTCACTGCTTCTGCTGCGGCTTTGGCTGGATTGTCCTCCTTCTTTGGTCTGCTCCGTGTCCTGGCCTTTCTGCGGACTCGCCGCGCATGTAGTAGAAGCTCCCTCAGAAACAACCAGCATAGATGCGGGTCTCTTCAGCCACCCTTGGAGGTATATGTCCACTATACGAACTAGCTTGTCAGTCTTTTCCCCTGTGCGATGTCTTGTCTGGTAAGCTTCGTAGGACTTGGCCATTCTTTTGCTGAGCCCTTCCCCTGTTGCGACATCTTTGTATCGTCCTGTCGTGGCATCATGCTGTATTGCTCGGTTTATCCACTGGTCCAACGGTTTCGGCGTAAAGCAAAATCATCCCTCGCCTTGTCTCGAACTGTGTCATCTGAGTGAAGAGGTTCACTGTACAGCCGATGAATCTGCTGCAGCTTGTCCCCGCTCTTTGGAGCGGTAGCCGGAGACCGGCTTCTGCAGCGGGCTAAAGGCACCTTCCCCTTATCCTCGGAACCATGTAACCTGCATTCCGGGTCCGATCCCTCGTGGGTTTTGCTAAACCCTGTCGTGCAGACTCCCTCGCCGCACCTGCACAGCTTACACTCCTTAGCCATGCGGGCTGCCATGGCTTCCACGAAAGGCACACTTCACTACGTCGCCGCCCTTGCCCACGTCACGATCACTGAGTCAAAGGTGTCCCCCGCCCAATGAAGGGATACTGTGAGTTCACCGTGGCAGTGAAGTCAAGGCGAAGAAGGTCGTGCCTCCCGCTTTCAGGCCGGTCGAGAGAAGCTCTTGCGGTTGCGCGGTCGCGTTCCATGACTCCCCTCCGATGCAAGGAGCCAAAATGGCTACTCACTCACTCACTCACTCTCCTTCCACTCTCTCTTAATGGTGTGTCGTGTGTCGCGCACGAGACAAGGACATTGTTCTGCGAACTCGAAACAAGTCTCTCGCTCTCTCTCACGGACTCGGTCACCGGTAACACTGTTTGGGGAGAAAGCACTCCCCAAAGCAACGCTGCAAAAGACGAAAATATCCAGGCCTTTTGCCGAGCGTAGCTTGCCTGTAAAAACTTGAGCTGCTCGTCTGAAAGCAAGGTGCCATTTTTGTTCTGGAGCTCTGTTTCCAGAGCCTCAAAACCCAGTCAGAGCTCTCGTTCATCAGACCTGAAAGAGAGACAATACTTCTTGCAGCTGAGAAACCTCAACCTGCTTCCTGGGCGAAGCAAGTCTGAGTTAAGCGGCTACAAGTATCAATCCGTCGCTTCCGGCAGCAGACGGTAATTCGGCCGACGGACTGCAGAAGCCCCATCGCTTCTGCTTCCGCTTTGCTTACACGCAACTCCTTGTCCTCGAATGCTCCCCTGCTCCAGGTAGACTCTATCTGTTTATATCGCGACTCCGGCAGCCGGATGCTCACCAGTGCAAAGTCTGACAGCATGCTGTGCAATTTTTGTGTGCCTTGTTCGGAGTGCCCGCTGATCATCAAAAACGCCCTGAAGCAGCCATCTTCCCTGAATCTATGCCCCCGAAGAAACATGAGCATGTGCTCAGCTGCGGGGAAGTCGCTGCAAGGCTTGAGCCCGCTCCACGGCTTCATCTCGATCTGACCGTATGCGCCTCGGCGCGGAAAAAGAGTGGATGTTGAAAATTAGCAAATCCTAGGCTTCGGGTTTTTGCCTCATCTCGTGCAGACCGGGTTTTCCAAAAGACCATCAGATGCCTTCGCCCTTGACGTAAGATCGGCCCTCTCCTTCCATGTGGGTTGCCTACCTACCCCCGATGCCACTTTCTACCGGAGACTCCGACACAAGCCCGAAACTCTACGGAAAAGAAGGACACCATTGCACACCCGAGTACCGGCAGGAATTAGGAGACCACTCTGACGAACCGAGAGGCCGAAGAGTGCGAACTTAAGCAGAAAACGTCAAAGGCCAAAATAGTGCCAACTTATTGGATTTGGGAATGTGGTATCCTTTGTAAACAAGGCCGTGGGGTCGGCAGCGGATCCCGCGCATGAGATGTGGGTGCCTCGCCCGTGTACTCTGAACAAAAAGATTCCCTAGTGTTACCATGCTGTTGGGAGAAAAAGGCTTTGCAGAAGGGTGTGCAAAAAGCGGCCTGGAAGGAGGGAGAGAGAGAGAGAGAGAGCGTGTGTGTTCACGAAGACGGCTTGGGCGTCTGACGACAAGAACGAGCCTGCTGTCACGCTGCATGCTGCGACAGAGCTATTGATCTTTCATTTTTTGGGAATAAGCTGTTCAACACTTATGGCACACAGAGCGATTCTTGCAAACCAAAGCACTCCATTTCTTTGGTCAGCACGTGGACTGCAGTCTGTTGTTCCTCACGAAGCCCGTCACACGGCTCTGCGAGACATGCGGGCAGCTAGCGTCGATAAGCTTTTGAAGGAACCGCACCTCCAGTGCAGTCGATGTGGATGATGAAGCTAGCTCTTCAATGCCCTAGCCAAGGGGGGCGAACTAGAGCAGCACCCTTACAGCACTTCGGATTGTCCCACCTTCAGCTCACGTGCTTTGCGGGACACGCGTGCTTGAGTGGCTTTGCTGAGATGTAGCTGGACGTGCTCCAGCAGCTCGGCCCTGCCAAAGGGCTTCCTGAGCTCTCTGAGAAGGCCCTCTCCTGTTATCAAAGCACCACCCTTTTCTTATAACGGTCAGGCATTTGGCGCTACGGCACCTGTCCGAGCTCCAGTCTCGCCAAGCATCATGATATAATCGTTCGCACCCAGCTTCGCAAATTCGGACACCGTCTCCTCTGCTGCGGCATACAGAGGGTTTTACGAGCTGTTACAACTGGTGCCTGTCTGCACACCGCACTCACGATGATGATTGGAAGCTGCTCTGAGGTGTAGAATTTGCGAACAGATCGCCTTGGATGTGCAAGTGTTACTGTACTACTGTACCAGTGACGCACCCTGCATGAATGAAATGTGTCGTTAGTATTGTCTTCGCAGCAGCTTCTAGAAGCCCCCAGTCCAGAGAAAAGATCTTGCGATGGTGAAATCAGTGTAATGGTACAAGGGCTGCAAAATCGCACTAAAGCGGCTCCGGTTATGTGCCGAAGCTACAGCTAAGAAAAGAAGCTCCGTTCCAAGTCTTGGTCATCGCAAAGACGCAACAGGGGCCACTCTCCAGCAGCGCATATACGCCAAGAGTCGGGTCCAGTGTATGGATTGATCACGTGCAGTGCGCTGTGTGCTACTGCTAATGAGGCAGCCGACAAGCCACGATTTTGACACCAAGCTGGGCATGCACACAGTGTTGTCCTTTGGGGGGCTACCTGCCGTCTTGAGCGAAAAGATGGCCGCTGCGGCAAGAAAAGCAGCTAAGTGGCAGCACCCGTTGGCCACTCATGCCAGGCATCATAACCTCAGATCTGCATGATCGTTTATGGACTTGGGCATACAGCCAACTCACGCACAACAAATCGTCTCAGGGGGTGGCATCCAGCATCATCAGTTGCACACTTCGCATCTTCAAGAACTGCACGGCTTGCTCCCCGTCAGCAACAGCATAGACCTGCCAAGTTCCAAAGCCACTCCGGACTGTATTGGCGCGCGAGATGACATGTCGAGTAGTCCAGCAAAAGAAGCTGAGCTCGAGAGAGCCGTGCCTTCAGTGCGTGTTGAGTCAACCTGAGCTAGAGTTTGTACCAGTCAAAGCTGAGGCATCTAAGAGCAGGATTTCCGAGTGGCAAAGACCGGACCACGTCGAGGTGGACAGGATCATCATCCACGCACAGGATTGTCGGGGCATCGGCCTTTGTCACGAGTAGACAGAGTTGAGTAGACGGTGCTTATGGCGGCGGTCCCGGCCTCTGCTGAGAAAGTGTTGCTCATGGTCGCCGTTTCCAGACTGGAGTCTGAAGCTTTGCTGTGCGCCGTGAAATGTCTTTCTGCAATTTCTGGCTCCTTGCCTCGTGTGGTAAGCTGCTTGTGAATCTATGGCATGTCACAGCAGAAACTGCACTAAGACCACAAGTAGCTCAGCCCTGCGACTTGCAAGATCCGGGGTCTTCTTCCGTCGGCGAGTCCTGAGCTGCAAGCACACACCCTTCCTCCCGACTCACGTGTCAGGGTGCAGCCGTAGATGCCCTGACTTCTGGCTTTCATGGCTCTTCTGGCTCATCGAGCCGGCCTGACAGCACCGAAGCACGACGACTACCACGACTACTCCACGCACCGCGCTCGCGCTAAGCGCCGCTGCGGCTTTCCGCTGGGCGCCCGGCCCGGACTGCGACCATCTCGGCTGCTAAAGTCGAGTTCTCCTCTTCTTCCTTCGGCACTTCGGCCACGACATGTCCACACAAAAAACGGCACGTCGCAGCTTTGCCGCTTGAGCCAAGCGCCTCCTCGTCCAGGTCTTGAGACTTCATCTTGTAGGGCAAGGAGACACCTCAGACGAAGGCGATGCTCTCTCTGCTAGGATCCAGCAATCGCGAGTTCTACAAGTCCCGATCTGCTTCTGCACGAAGACATGCATCAAGCCCGTCAGATTTCACTAGAACTAGAAAGGGGCAGTCATATGTGCCTTTGCTATGTATGGATGCATGAGAGAAAGAAAGAAGAGACAGATAGAGAGAGAAAGAGAGAGAAAGAGAGAGAGAGAGAGAGCAGCGCGAGATCGTAACACGAAGACGTGCTACGATGCCCAGCAGTTCGGCCACGTGCAAGTACCGTGTAGGGAGATGGGCGCCGCGCGTGGTTTTGAGACACTTCACCTCCGTCTCAGTAACTGTCTCAATGATCCAATGAACCTAGCGGGAGGGGAGGTCACGGTTTTTTTCGACCCCTGAAGGG